CCGCCTTCGCGAGGGAAGCCAAACTGAGAAATTACATAACCGAGCTTCCTATTATACAAACCTGTAAATACAGGCCCCGTGAGAAACTTCAGTCTCTGGAATAACCAGTCTGCCAGTCCGTTTGTAGGTGTGCCTCGGAGGGAGACGATTAGTCGTAAGGGAACGCCTGGCTTGTGTACTTTTGGGAGACCGTAGAAGCGTGCCATAGCCGCTTTGGAAGGCTTCGCCATGTACCAATCCTTCATAGTGATGACCTTTTCTTTCTTTAGTCGACCAGAGTTTCACCCAACTTTGCCAGTAGTGGCTTCGGTCCGGCAGCGTTGCTGACTCTGTAAGACTCTTGATTACTGAAGAGCGTCCGGATTTCGTTTTGATAGTCAGCAGCGCCCATACGCCCGAAACGTTGGACCGTCTAGATAGTCGTACCAATGATTTTGTCCTAACAAATGGTTCCACATTAACAGTGAAGTCGGCTTAATAGCTCTTAACACGCATTCAGTATCCTATCATAGAGGCAGACGTGGTGATGGTAGCATTCGCTGTGATCGTCTTATACATCTTAATCCCATTTGCACTGGCTATCGACAATATCAACGGCTTTCCTTGTGAAATATATGACGAGACCGAGAAGCAACTCAAACAAGCGCATATCATCGAGCTCCACGAACTGCGTCTTAAGACCTTTTTCACCTTCAACAGCCAAGTGCACGAGCAGAATAAGGGAACACTTATGGGTTTCCCTCTGTCTGCACTTATTGCCGAAGCAGTTCTGCAGAGGCTTTAACAGCTAGTCTTCAGCTTGGATCATCGGAGTGCTGGGCCCGATACGTCGCCAACACGTTCGTCATGCTAAAATGGAGCCTCATGAAAGCTTTCATGTCATTATAGAATTCGAAATTTCCCGACGTCCATTTTATTATGAAATAATAATTCAAAAATCAGTTGCCCTTCTTTGACGTCCAACTTACAAAACTGGCGGACGGGAAGATAAGGACAACGGTCTACCGTAAGGCAACTAACACCAGACGCATTTTGCATTTCCAAAGCAACCAACCTGCTGGTCGCAAACACAGTTGAATTATTATCCTCTGCTGGCGTGTTCAAACACTCTGTAACGACGATGTTTGGAAGCAGCAGGAGATCAAGTATTTACAAGCCCTTTTCAGAGCCAATGGTTGTCTAAAATTGTTAATCTACAAGTGCCTCGAGAAGCCTCGTGGTCATCGGCTGGGCAACGGAAAGGCAAAATGGGGCTTGCCATTTCTTACGTGAAAAGCGTTTCAAAGACGGCTGCACGAATCCTAGAACCTTTCGAGATCGGAGTGACGCAAAGACCAAATTGCACAATCAGACAGGAAGTCATGCATCCAAAAGACCCTTTGCCAGTAAACGAGCAATCAGCCATGGTCTCAGCATATCATGCAAACATCATGATGCAACGTATGCTAATGAACTGGGCAAACTCCCCGTTACAAAACTGCACGAACATAAACTTGCAGTCAATCGCAGGGAAAATCCGTTTTTAGTCCAGTCACGTGCAGCAGCTAAAACCCATGTTGCATAACAAGAGAATTTGCAATTTTTGTTGAGGCTTCTTGCTTATTTGTTCAGTACCTATTATCATTACACTTTTCACAGTTTGAAGTTTATCAGTGAAAATGTATGCGACCGATTAGGAACTTTCCGTTGTGCATAATTTAATTTGCATTGCTGCTATGTGTGGTATCAACTTAAACAGACTTAAAAAAACGTGCGTAAGCTAAATAATTCATACTAAATTTGTGTTTGCAGGAGGAAGGGTCTCAATTATGAAATCAGATAAATTTAAAAAATACTCCAAAGGGAAATGAAAAAGGCTAACATTCAGAACAAATTCACCTTAAAAAAACATTTATGGTTTATATCAAGACTAGTGTACCTTGTCCACCTTTGTGTGATAAGTGCTATGAGATGCATGAAAAGGCATCTAGAGTGAAAAATTGATAAAAAAAAGTTGTGATGTTGGGTCCACGTGCCTAATGCACTGAGCCGATGGTGCGCCAACGCAGGGTACTCGCAATCATAAAAAAATGACTCACATGGGTCGGGATTTGGCATGCACAGATGCAGACTCTAGATGCTGCTAACTCTAGATGTTTTACACTTTAGTTGTTCCCAGTCAGAGGTTATTTAATGAACATGGATAAGCCTTATATGTTCCAAATGCGTCAAAAACCCGCATTGAAAGCTTTAGTTTTATTTTCGCAGCCTCTGGTGAATGGCAAATATGGTAAAGCCTCTCCACGTGTTCTGCACCTTCTCGATTGCTATTCAGGCTTAAAAATATAACACGCTTGCTACGAAAGTGCCCTTTCATGTCGTCCAATATAACTGGGCACCAAACAGTCGGAGTCCTTACGCGTATGACAGGCAAATCG